ACCCTACCCCACCATCATCCCCCCCCAAAAAAAATTCCAAATCGTGATGTGTTCACGGCAAGCTTTTGGAATCTGGTATTAGATGTTAGTGTGCCTCCAATATTCCCAAGTATTCTTGTCGTTTTTTTCCATTCATGTTTTGGTAGGTGCGGCATCCACGGTATGCTCCCCCTCCATTTAGCAGCTCTGAGGGGCTACACCATCTGCTGTAAGAAACTCCTGGAAGCAGGTACATGTAACTCCTGCCACGGGAATTTACATCATGGAACTGGTTTCACATGTGCATGTATGAATCATATCATACGCAATGTCATACACAGTACATGTAGGTGTCAAAATGAGCCAAAGTTGCACTCTGTTATTTCTCATTATGATGATTCAAAGTCAAAGATTGAAGTGGGAGATCAGTTTTGGGGGGTTGTAATATTTGGAAAGAGTAACCCTTCCATTTAATTCCAAATTTATAGCAGGATCAGATGTTTAAAATGTCGGTTTTTTTTACCAATTTTGACAATAACATTATTTGTGCCTGGTCAGAAATATTGAAACAGTGTCTGAAACAAAGACGCAAAGCTACTGGAATAATGTCACATTGCCACCTCCATGTGCTTTTACCCTAAGTGTGATAAACCGTTAGAAAGCTCTTTTTCTGCTGAATTTGAAAATACCAACGTCTCAATTTTTTAAAATTCTGACTTTCAGCCCATTTTGTGGTGACAGGTCTCATATCTTTAAGGAAAGTTCTCAGCTGATAAGTACTCGTGGAGTTTGGTTTAGTGTGAGTCAATATCGCTCCGAAGTACATACAGATGATAAATAAAGTCCATGGCGGTATCGTCACCTGGTCCATAATTTCACCACCTACAGGTATAATCGTCAAGTCTGATTGGTTTTTACACTAAGTGGCAAAATAAGGGACCTGGTGACTATACTGTCATGGACTTTACATTTCTACAGATAAGTTCCTTTTGAACCTGTCATGCATGAGTGAATAAATTTAAAGAACAGCAAACACATACCATTGTGCAGTCAAAAGCAAGAACTGGCTGTGATGTCACGAGAATGCACAAATTGGTGACTCATTAGGCACTGATTGCATCTGTGTGAGTTCAAAATCTATTTCTTTTACATCTGATGCTCATATAGACACATTCCACTTAGTATCAATTGCATAATTTTTTAGAGTAAATTTTTTAGGATTTTTTATGCATCCGAGTCAATGCTCCCAGGGCTTGCTGCAGACTGTTTTGTATGAGCATTTCAGACCAGATGGACCGTAGTCTTGATAGAGTTGTTTATTTTACCTGTTTGACCCGCAGCAGAATGTGATATTAATGCACTGGATGACAACCATCGCACCTGTGTCCATTGCGCAGCATGCTCAGGGTAAGAAATAGTCCATGTTGTCATTGTTAGTAACAGCATTAAAGCTTTCTTGTGAGTTTTGTTTCATGGGACATCCTTTGATTAAACTCCTGCAAAGCTTATTAAGTCATTTCTGTTGATCAGTTCCTTTGTATCAGTTTTCAAGTTTTGGGGAGCTGGTGTAAATAACTGCTTTTCTTGCACAAATGTGGCGGTGGAATTTACCAGCCCATCAGAGAGCAAACTTTGGCTTTAAATAAGGGGATGGCAGAGCATGTTTCTCCTAGATGTCAGTCGAAGTATTTTGGAAAAATCTTGCCTTTTTAACATGTGCTCTGTGATCACACTTCAGTAACTGATTATTACTTTCTGTTGTTTCAAGTACATTTCATTTTTTTTTTTATAGAAATGTAGATTGTCTGGATTTACTAATCCGAAGTGGTGCCGACTTCACCCTGCCAGACAAGGATGGTCGGACGCCCTTACACTACGCATCCGGCAATGCCAACCATCAGTGCACACTGTCTCTTGTAGCCATGAAGGCCAACGTCAATGGGTTGGATGCCAGGGATTGTTCACCGTTGCATTACGCGGCTGCAGCTGACGTGGAGGCAGAGTGAGTTGTGTGGTTTTGCAGTCAGTTTGAGACTGCTTGGGAAGGGAACCCCTGCAATATCTGTGATCAGCTTCGCACCACACCTGAGCAGAAAAATTCGACTTAAAGAGCACCTTTAAGGAAAACATGGTTTCTCCGATTTCAAATCTGTTCAAATAAATATGGAAGAATTCAAATCCAACGCAGTGTCATTTGTCTTCAGAGCTCAACTATAACAAGCTAAAAAGGGCTTTTTTCTGTTCATGCCAATATGCGAATTCTGAATATAGATTACGTCATTCAGAGAAAATGAGGGGAACCCTCGCCCTTCGTTCGTAGTATTTGATAAACCCTTGTTCATGCCCAACAATGGCTACCGGTACATGCATTGTTTGGCATGCACAAGGGTTTATCCACTACGAACACAGGGTGAGGGTTCCCCTCATTTTTCTCTGTTTTCTCTGAATGAAGCAATCTACATTCAGAATTTGTGTCTTGGCATAAACAGAAAAAAAGCCCTTTTTAGCTTGTTATAGTTGAGCTCTGAAGACAAATGATGTTCATGATTGGGACAAAGCTAGTAATTGGGTTAAAGTTTTGTCCCACTCCTTGGTCCCAAACATTCTTGCAAAGGGCACTGTGCCCTCAACATACATGTACTAGTAGTGTCGACCATGGCAAGCACATGCAGTGTGCGGTCTCAAAGGAGGTTGTTCATTGGCAGAATAAAGTTCCTTTTCTTGTCCCGTCTGGTACCCAATATCACAAATGTTGCTTACTTTTTCACACAAAGTGTCTGATGATCCTGCGTCAGGTAAAAGATTCGGGATAAGTGTGAGTCCTCTCTGGTTGGATTTTTCCCGACATTTTCTATCTGTTTCTTTTGTCTCTTCAGTTGCGTAGAGCATTTGCTTCATAACAACGCCAATCCACGACTGCGAGACATCAATGGCTACAACACACTGCACTATGCAGCTGCCAGCGGACATAGCCTAGCCGCTGAGAAGGTAACCGTAACAGTCATTGTTGGACACTCCATGGCCGACACGTGCTGGTTTCCGTAGTCGTGGAGACAAACACAGGACAGAGAAATGTCCCCACAACTTGGTCCTAATTTGCCTGACAAAGGGATTGTCCCCTAAAGCAAGCGAAGGCCTACCCCACACTCTGTGCACAGTCGCAATATGTAAAGTGGCCATTTTCTGTGGTAGTCATGTATCCCTTACTTATTATAAACAGAGGCTGTTTTAACACTTTAACCCCTAACAGTCTTCAATCCTTCACCTGTTGGAGGACTGAGGACTGTCAGGGTTAAGCCATTATAACTTGTATGTATGTGACTGCCATACAAAGAAATGCCAAGTTTTTGTGGATTTATATTTTTTTAAAATTATGGGTGTCCTTTTCTGAGAGGTGTGTGCTAAAGTGAGACTTATCTAACCGCAGACTACACAGCTGTGTAAAATCAAACATGTTAGAATTTTTCCACGTCCAATTTTAATGGATCCAATGTCACTGGAAAGGTTCGCGGACAATGTTCCACAGGGTGCATTGCTTTCCATACAAATCAGATTCATGAAGGAAGCAACATGATTCAAAATGGCAACCGTGAAAGAAGGGGCCAGCTACCCTGCGACTTGCCACCATGTGGCTGGTTGGCATGGAAGTTGTAAAACAGAACCGGCCTGTGTGTTGGTAATTTACTGATGCTTCGGTGGTCCGGTGAATCGGTCAACTTAACACCTCATGCACGTGCCTTTGTACGTGGATGCCCAGGGCACAAGATAGTAAAGATAGTCAAATCACTCTTGGCCGCTGGGGTGTTTCCGTTTTAGTTGCAGGCAGTAGCAGCGAGTGATCTTCTCAACACTGGTGGCTCTGCTCCACTCACCACGCCTCTTCATTTAGCGGTACGTTGCTGCTTCCTGATGTATCATTAAATTGCTGTGCGTCGGAAAAGAGAACAGTTGTAGTCAAGACCATCACAGGAGCAAAAGAGTGATGAGACCAAACACAAATAACGGGGTTGAACAGTGAGAAAGGAATGCTTTTGTCGCAGGTTTTGTTTTGTTAATTGTTTTCCAAAAAAGAACGACTGTAACACATGTGGTAGTTAAAACCCACTGTAGCTCTGGAAAGACTTGGAAGTTCTGCAAGTCAACAGGCTTTACCAATTTTTCTGTCTTATTTGTATTTCTTTTCCACCAGTAACAATTCTTTGATTCTTTCATAACAATTCTTCAGTTCTTTAAGCTTGAGAAGAAACAATCAGTTTATTAAAAGTGAGTATACTGTCTTGGGGAAAAATGGAAGGAAAACATTATGTTCCAGGCTGAAATCAAAGGAACATGGTGCATTTTTGCAGGCATACAATGGTCACGTGGAAGTCCTTCACGTTCTGATTGGATCCATCGTCAACCTGGACATTCAGGACGCCAACGGCCGGACGGCGCTGGACCTAGCTGCATTCAAGGGCCACATAGATTGTGTGGAGGCTCTAGTCATGCAGGGAGCCACGATCCTGATCCACGACTCGGTGTCCAAACGAACGCCATTTCATGCCGCAGGTAAGGCAGCCAGCTGCAGAAACTAGTACAACACTGTATGGAAACAAACTCTCTTTGACACTCGGAGAGCAAAGATGTAACATCCCTGGCTGGAAGTGGTTATTGATGTAGACTAATTATGCAACCCAAATCTGAAGCTAGTTCGCCGATGCACCTGCTCATAGACAGGTGGTATGCACACATTACATGCCTCATCCGTCAATTTGTGTTGTGACCTGCCTACGTACATGTACATTTCAAGTTTAAGAGTGTGGATCTGAGTGTGATGCTACTTTAGTAGTGGTGTCTTCTTGGAGTGCTTTATAGAATACTCACCCAAAGAGTGATCAGGAAATGGATTGTCTCAGTTGAGTGAGCGCTAGTTCTCTTAGTTTTTCCCAAAGGGTAGTTCGTAACTGCATACTGTGGCATAACTACAGTAGTGTCACAAGTTGGCAGTGGAGTCATAGAATCAGATGAATCCAGTAGAATAGGCACGTATTTGCAGTGCACTTCTGTTGGAGTCCATCCCCAGAAAAGGCACGAAATTGGATCAAAATCACCAGTTGACTTGGAAATACTTCAGACTTGACCCCTATCTACAGTGGTTGGTTTGTCCTGTGAGCGCTTTGCCCCATGGAAAAAGCCCTGCCTCCACCGGCCACCCCCCCCCAGAAAAAACCTGGCAATGCCCATGGTTGGAACCCAGTGGTTCTTGAATGTTACACATGTCTTGATTTATCAGGGTATTGACTCTATGCTTGCCGTTCTATAGCCTACAACGGGCATTCCGAGTGCCTCAGAATCCTCCTGGAAAACGCCGACCAAGAGGGGGCGGTAGACTGCCTGGACAACCAGTCGCGGACGCCGCTGATGGTCGCTGTTAGCAATGGCCACACAGATGCTACGCTGTTGCTGCTACAGCATGGGGCTAGTTTGAGCGCTAGGGACATCCACCACAGGACTGCCCTGCATCGTGGGGTGAGTCCAGTTAATATCTATGTGTTTTCAGGTTTGTGAAAAGAGTGTAGCTCTGACAAAAGAATAGTATGCTTTGACGTGAAGCATGTCTTATAGTAATTAAGAAGAGGGCCGGTAAGAGCCGCCTTAAAAATTGAGATCCTCAGCCCACTTTTTAGCTATTAGTCTCGGTCTACGCTCGAGCGAACACGGTGAAAGAAGGAAGACCCTGGCTCTTGTATATATGGTAATTGGCCTTTGTGTGTTGCCAAGAAATGAAAAGGCTAAATTTGCGTCATAATCACCAGCTTCACAATAGTCCCCACTTTGAAAGGAGGGAATGTGGAAACGTGAGTAGAGCCGCCTGCCACCGAACAATCAGCCTTTTCACTGTGTAAATCAAAGTGTGCAGAGCACGCAGGGCGACAAATTGAGAATTGGCAGTTTGGCAGGTGGCCTTCGTGGCCAAGCGAGGCTGGAATTCTCAGAGTTTTTTTTTAGAAAAAAGTCCCAGCGTCAAGGGGTTAAATATCAGTTAAGATTACATACTTTTGCTTTGTTTTCTTAGTTTTACACCAGGTTTTTGTTTGTTTTGTGTCATTACTTTAATTTGCTTTTTATATCCGCTCCCTCAGATGTTTGTTACATGAATTGCCTGAAAAGTGCTTTAACCTTTTTAGGTTACAAAAGGGTCAACAAATGTTCCTTTCCTAAAACTGGAATTTCCTACTGCAATAAAAAGGACGTTCATTTGTTTTCTATCAGAATAGCCATATTCCATTGCACTAAACACACAGGGAAAAACTGTGAATTATGTTTTGATTGTTGCACATCGAATCAATTCTAGCCGTCAGTAGTTTGACTATTTTATTAAAATGACCTTTCAGGACTAGACTCGCAAAGTTGATCATGCGGCTGGTTGGCAACAGAGAAAAGCAAAGAACCTTTGAAGTTGATTGATGATAATGCACCATACTTTGAATTCTAGAACATAGATATTATCTACATCGGAAATCAAACTCAGCATTGTCAGATGCTGGTCAAAGGTTTCACGTATGTCTTGAGTAACACTGTTATCTTGCACCGACAGGCAGCCAATGGCCATGAAGAATGCGTGGACGCGCTGCTGCAGAGCCAAGCCAATACCTCCTGTGCCGATGTCAAAGGTCGCACGCCACTGCACATGGCAGCGGCCTGCGGTCACGTGGGCATACTGGGGGCACTGCTGCAGGCAGGGTGTACCAACCATCTCGATGGCAACGGTTACACACCCTTACACTGGGCTTGTTACAATGGTAAGTAATATCTGGGAACTGGGTCAGCCCTCCCAAAAGTTCAACACGCAAGGTTCTGTCACATAGTTTTGTTACAAAATTTGAACAGTTTAAACAATCAAATGCTGTTCAGTATGTGTGAAGTTAACAAATTGTTTATAGAATGTTCAATTTATTTGGCGTTCTTTGTGTGCAAACACAAAGTTTCCTCTTTAAACCGATTTGTTTCCAAAGTCTATCAACGTTGCATTGTGTTCCACTCGAGTGGAAACTCATGGGCCTTTAAGCTATTTTCCAAGTTACTCAGCCATGCCTGGCAATAAAACTCCTAAACCCACTGGAATTGACAGCAGTCGCACACATGATTGTTTAACCATAGCCTGTTAACTTTGAAGAGGAAGAAAAGGACTAGGTTTTCCGAAGTTAGGAACCGTTTGTGTTTGAGTAACCCTCTCCTGTTTTGGTTTTGTTTTCCGTTTTTAGGGCACGAGAACTGTGTGGAATTACTACTTGAGCAAGATCCTAAAATGTTCTTCAAAGGAAATTCTTTCACTCCATTGCACTGTGCTGTGTAAGTATGAAGTGGTGGTTTGTCCCCAACCTGCACTGAGTTCACAAGAGGCAAAGGGTTTTGAAAGGAAGAGATTGTTCAGCATGAGTTGATTACTTCAAATTAATTTGCCAACTCTGAGCTTTGAAGTGAGGAGACACTTGAGGATTTTTAATAATGAAAGAACTGGAGCATTGACTGTCCTTGGGACTAAATTTGCGTAGTGAAATCAGAATCAGCAGAATTGATTTACCTACACACGTGGAGTTTGGAAAATCGCTGAAGCATTTCACCTGGGGCCAGATGTTGAGAAATCAGTGAAGCAATTCACCTCGTGTCGGAGCTATTTTCATGATTACTCTTGTCATCAGAACCTCTTGAAATGTTTCCCCCATGGAAGTTTTCAGGAACAGAAGCCTTGGAAACTTCTCTTGGAGGGAACTCGTTGTTTAGTGATATTAACTAAGCTTTGCATCATTTGAAGTATAAAATTTGGGGCATCCTTTAAATTTGGGGTCCATTTTTCCCATCCCTGTTACATCTGGCGTGTGATTTCTTAGTGTTTAAAATTCATTCTTTAATTTCCAAGATTGAATGAGTACTGCAAATTACCTGTCAAACAAATAAAAATGGTGTGAAACCAATTTCAGTGATATATCCCTTGTCAAAGTATACATGTCAGTTGTAACATGGATGGAAAAATGTTAAAGTAAATGTTGGACCCGAAAGTTATAAAATGAGTCATATTTGTCTAGAAGTTCAATGACAATGTATGGAACATTAAACTTGGTTTTCTTCTTTAGTTTAAATGATAACGAGTCCTGTGCAGAGCAGCTCATCGAGTCACTGGGTGATGAAATTGTCAACATTCAAGACAGAAAAGGAAGGTCAGTCTCAATCAGTAATGCCTTATATGTCGTCTTGGCTACGATTCCTTCCTTCAAATTGTCTTCAAGATGTAATCAGCCTTCTGCCATTAGTGTAACTGCCCCCTAGGCCTGGTTACACAGGCATGGATTTTTTTTATGCAGATGAGGTGATTTTCTCTTGTTTTACTTACCATATGGGCTATGTTGTGTGGACGAGAAAGAGCAGTGTTTACCTGACGTAACTACCCTTTGGGCTTTACACTGCTGGCTATTATTGTTAACTTTGATACCCAACATTCCTCATTTATTTAATGTACAAATACCAGGGGAGGGGGGTCAAATGTTCCTGGTCTCGCCATTGTCGTAATAAGTTTGGTTTTGTGTGGAATTGTACGAAGCCGTATTGAGATCCGGTTAAAAGATTTTCTCTCCTCGAGCTGACTGGTACATAAGTCATACCTTGTACATGTACCGGTATGCGTGACTTACTTCTCAAACCGACAACTAATTAATCATAACTTGTATGCACGACTTGCATGACGTATGGTGTGTACTTTACTCACAGATTGTAAGTAGGACTTGTATCTTGTGCGTAATGTCTTGTATGTATGAATGATGAATCACAACTTGCTCATGTCATATGTACTACTTATCTCACGCGTATGACTTTTATCTCAAATTGACAACCTACCGGCATGAATCATACATTGTATGTACTATTCATATCTTGTCCCTGTGGCTCTCATCTCAAACTAATGACTTACAAATCATAATTTGTGCAGGTGACTTACATGTGTACTTCTGTTATCTTGTGTATGACTTGTGAATCATAACTCGTAGAAGTTAAGATTGGTAAGTTGTATGTTGGAGATATACACCATAAGTACACGATATAACTCGAACGTCATTAACTGAAGACAGAGAACATTTTTTCACCATTTCCCTAACACAGCTTTGAAGAATTGCTTCATGTTTTTGGTTTGTTTTTTTTCCTGTTCGATGACCTTTAAGTTAAATGCCTGGCTACACCAGACCAAAAACAGTGACACCCCTTTGGTGTCGCCCTGTTTCTCTTTTCCTCCAGAACGTCTCTCCATGCCAGTGCCCTCAATGACCAGGTGGAATGCCTGCAGCTCATGCTGAAGCACGGGGGCCAGCCCAACCTAGCCGACCAACTGGGCAGGACCTGCCTCATGGTGGCAGCAGAGAGCGGTTCGGCAGGCACCATAGGTGAGTTTCGTCGCCGGGGATAAAAGTAACAGGTTTTGCCACTTGACAATAACCTCTGCCCTTTTTCAGGAATGCCTACCGTCGTTTCCCCTTTTTCCCTTTTTTTTTTAATCATGTTCATACATGTAGTTTTTGCCAACCTTTGGTTGGCAAATCACGGCTGCCTGCAAAAGAATTCATCAGGTGTTAACAGAATCTCGTGAGCTGTCAAAGTACCTTATGACAGAAATTACTACCAATCAGTATTGAAAATTCCTTCCCCTGTTTGCAAATGTGTATTTGGAGTTGGAACCCGCTACCGAGCCAGAGTGAAATTTCTGCAGTCCTTGACCGGCCGTACCAGCGGAGGGTAACGAGGACCCACATGGCAAACTTCACACTCAGAACCCTTTCAGTAACAGTAGAAAGCACGGTGCTAGCTACTGGCATCAGCAACGGACCCTTTACAGTTTTCCCCAAACAGTTCCCAGCATGTTGCTTCCTGTGCTAATGCCGGAGTGTGTGTGGACTACGTGTCCCAAGATCTGACCTTCACACATGTACATGTAGTGTAGTACCCGCATGTACCAGCATTTGATTAAAAGACCTTCAGTGATATCCCAGCAAGAATGAACGTGCAGACAAAGTATTCATAAGTCAGCTGTGTGTGAAACGTGGCATTTCAAAGCCAAATTTATGTATTTGTTGTCAGGAAAAAAACAGCCTTGAGTTCTGTCCGAATAATGACGATGATTCCAGGTTCCATGTGTTGCTGTATTAAACCGATAATCTGCAATACCATATGTGCAAGTCTAAAAGTTGCAGTCCTTGTAAAATCATTACAAATATCTTGATATTGCCAGATGGGTAGACTCGCTCAAAGGTTGTCTAATGCTACAGGTGGAATACAAGCCAGTCGTAGTTTGTGCAGCTGGTTGGACAGTAAATGAAACACCTCAACAGTCCAAATGTCTTGCCTGGCAGCTTTTGCTTATTAAAGTGGCTGCGCTAAAGTGACCCCACTTTGACATGTCTTTAACCCTTACCTCCCAGCTCTATTTCCCCCTACATGTACCGTAGCATTTTTGCAGGATTTTGGCAGGTCCTTTTTTGTCTGTTTGGTTGCGATCATTCCAGAATGTTTGCAGCGTCACACCAAAACAGACTGTGTTAGACAGTGGTCATAGGATATGGAATGTTTTACACTGTGGAGTTTTTTCTCTTGTAGGAAGCGTGTGCCTAGTCACAATTTGACTGGCCAAAAGTTGTAATAAAATCAGTGACTACTGTTTATACGCCAAAAAAAAGAGAGTATTTTCTTTTTGCTGTCACATGACAGCATGGGTGTATACATGTACATGTACGTTGTACGGTACCTCTGCATTATATGTAAACAATACTCCGTGATTACGGGAAGGCTTGTACATTGTATGAGTGCACCACCATCATGTCAATTAGACACATATTAAATCAAAGTTCAAGTGTGGAAGGGTTTTTTTTTTCATTTTAATTTTTGATATATTTTTGTTAGTCTGTAAAAGGCATTTCCAAAAGCTGTTTCCCTCCCGACCATAAAGTGTACACTGCAAAACAATGTATTTGGTTTGTCCAGTTTTAGCATTTGTTAAGGGACAATATCAATCTTCTTTGTTGCTAGCTTTGAGGGGCAGTGGGTCGTGAGCAAATTTGCCAATGCAGGGATCCAGATGGCAACTTGAAGAAAACGTCCAACCAACTTTTGCAGTTCTCAATACAATTGTTCCTCCCAGTTGCACAGGAAACTAGCCAAAGTTTGTCAATATTTGCCATTTGGCGACAGTGGAATCCTGCAAATGTTAACCTGTGCACACCAGCACATTGCTACATGGATGTCTCACCTCATCCAGGCAGACTACAGTTGACCACCTGAAATCTTGAAGCCCGATTTGCCCATAACACTCTACCAGAATAGTGTACCTGTTACCTGTGTACCTGCCCCTTGCCTGTTCCCTTCCCAAATATTACTCTGCACCATACAGACCCTGTTCTTTCATTGCTTGTCCGTCCTCATCACCTCCTGTTCATGGTCTCTCAACCCCATCCCATGCACCCCTGGCAGCCCTGTTTTTAACGTTTTTATCAGCACAACCGAAATGTTTCTTTATCTGGCATTTTGGAGTTTTGAGTAGACCTGCCACATAACGACTTCACGCATTGTTTACATGCACTTTCCTATGGCAGTGAGGTGGGACGCAATCCATCAAGTTCCCATCGGGACGTGCGCTTGTAAACAAAGCTCGGCGTTGTTTGATATGAACAACTTTCTCATGGATGATGGATCCGTAATGGCCGTCTCACTTTACTACCACTCTAAAAAACGAACCGACCTTTCCATACAGTACTGGTTGGAGTCTGCAGTTTGCAATGCAATTCACATACATGTACTGCACTGTTGAAGCTCCTCTTCAAACCTACATGTGCAGCACTGTCAGTGCTCTTGTTTCTTAATTAGTGTCGTAGTGGTGATCAGGTTATTTTGAGTAAACTGCTAGTCAGTCACAGGTGTTCTGTCAGGTGTTCTGTCTTTAGTCAAGTTACAGAAGCCTTGCCTGTCAATTCTAAAACATCCTAAATCTCCTTGTTACTTGTGGCCAGACTTGTGATTTGGTTTCAGATTGATTTGTGGTAGATTTGATACACTGAACCTCAACACTTGTTCCCTTTTTTGCCTTGTCGTTTGATACATCATGTCATCCCTTGCATATCCCCGACAGAAATGTGCTCTGTTTAGAATGCAAATTGCATTGACCGTCTTCCAGACCCTTCGAGGAACTGGGTACCAGTCTACCTGCCATGACCCCCCCTCCCCAGACTTCATCTTTTCCCCACCCATTGTGCCCACATGATCCTCTCACCATCCCTTGACTAATCTTGTTCTGTGTCTGCCTTCCTCTGTCCTTGTTCTCTCTGTTCAGAGCTCTTCTGCTCCCCGTCAGATCAAATAGATGGCCCCTGTGGTAAGATCACACCCAACATGTCTTCTCTTGGTGTCAGTTTGCAAAATACTGTGCTTCGTATTTGTTACTCCCTTTTTTTTTTTCATTTTCTTCTTTTTTTTTTCAGTCTAACTCCACATTCTTTTAACCATACATTATCACTGAATTCATTACATGTACATGTATTTGTGACCCGCTCTGCAAAAAAAGGGAATTAAGTCGCGCAATGCCAAAACATATAACAGCCTGTTCTATTTGGAGAGGCAAAATTTCTTCAAAACTTTGATTTTGTTTTTTTTTTCCGTTTTGTAGCTTCTATAATATTTATATTGTTAGAATTTGTGACTACAAACATGGATACTGATGATTAAAGATGAAAAATTGATCATTCAGTAAGAAATCCGATTCAGCATTGTATTTCCAAGCGCTACACTTCATGAGCTTTTTCTCGGAAAGGACTTTTATTGAATCCGAAAATGTGGATCATACAGATGTCTATATATCTCAGGAACGCAGCTCACTACAGGGTCATTCATGTATCAAATTGTAGCTTTTGAAGTACCGAATCCAGCCATATCAAAAACTCCTAACCTGAATCTGGCGACTTAACCGGTAGTACCTATTCTTCTAGAGCTGGTCACATTTATAGCACATTCAATGTTGGTAGTGCAATGTAGTTGGTCTGTGTTTGGTTGCGCATTCAGTACTCAACTGCTTTTACTGTTTAGAGTTTCCTGCAAATTTTTGGCCATCCTAATATTGAACAATCTTGTTTTAGACCATTTGGGTTTTTAGTTTCTTTTGGGTTTAAAATCCACAAAGAAATGTGACATGTTCATGAAGCAATAACTAAGCTAATCAAGTTTCCATGAATTTAAAGGAAATAAATACATGTGCATGTACGAAACTTCATTTGCACACTTTAATTTATATCAAAACATCCATTTTGTATCATCCATTGCGTTATGGAAAATGTTTTTCTAAAGCACAGGGTGCATTACATTACATGTATGCATATGCACAACGTGGATACATGGATTTATATTTCATTGTAGGCCCATGCTTAAGCCTGCTGCCCCCCAAAAACCCCACCTTGACCTTTCAGTAAAATTTCCTCCCAAAGTCTGCTTTATCGCAGCTACTTTTATCATTATCCCCATGTGCAATTCACTTGCAACAAAGCCAAACAGGCAGCTGTAAGGGATGTTAACAATGTACACTATTTTTTTTTCTTTGGCAGCATCGCCTACATTCCATCCATTGAGAGAAAAATTTTGTTGTGTATGTGAGTTGTGGTTGTGTAGTTAGTGCTTTGCATGAGCCCTGAGCCTCAAAGACACCATGCAGTCCGTCAAGTGCACGTTCATGTACAGTGATCTCTTTAGATAGAAGAAAATTTTCCTCTCAGAAAAACTACCAGCATATGTGTCATCTATGTGTGACTTCTCTTCCCCTGAACATATTACAGACATATTGACTAAGCATCTCACATTTTGACAAACAGAAAGTGAGAACTTGTCATTAGCAAAAGCAGTGAAGCTCCACTTGTCTGAAAGTAGTGATGTCAAATTTGAACTGCATCATTAAGAGTTTGTTCAAATAGTTATGTATAGTTCAGTTCTTTAAGTTCCATATATTTGACTAACAAAATTATGTGAATGGTGTAATTGCAAAGTAGTGAAATTGTTTAAATCACTATGTTTGTTTTCTTTTGCAATTTATATAAATTCACATGTATTTATTTGGGGGGGGATCATTTTGGGGGGCTTTGTCTGTCTTATTTATCACTTTATCATTTGATTCTTTTCTGTTTAAGGTGTGCTAGACAGACTTTACTGGTGGTTCGTTGTCTTGTTTTGTAGCCCAGTGCCATGTGTCATCTCATGACAATCTTTTTCCAGGTTACAATGCAAGGACTCCATTTTATTTTACTATCCTTGCTCACAAACACTACTGAAAGACATATTAATCAGTTTACCTATTGGCTACGGTAAAAGCAACAACCTACATACCGTTTAATCTCTGGTGGATGCTTGGCCCCCCAAAAGTGAGATTTTCAAAAAACCAAGATACATCAGCCAACCTATAAAGTCAAGTAAACACCACAAATACTGGCCCTCGAGAGTCATTTGCACAATATTTGTTTAATTATTCCCACTGAATTTGTTTTGTAACACTGTGAGTACTCATCAAACCAGAATTTAAGATTAGATTTCACATTTTAAAGTTAAACTTTGAAAATACCTTTACTCGAAGGTACACTGATACCTGTAACCGGTGCTAATATGTCATTTCTAGTTGGTGTCCATTTCATTTTTTCACCCCAAAGAAGAGGGGGGCAGTTTTTTCTGATATTTTTCCAATTGATTGTTTTATTTTCTGCTTTGAGTTTCCATGATGCCTTTTGTTTGTACCTGTACAACCAGGCAGTTGTTATCAAGTGTAAAATACGAGTACATTTATTGAAATGAAATAAGTTACTTTATCGTTTAAAATCAGAAGAAGTCAGTTTGGAATATGGGTGTAGATCTGCCAACTATTTCTGTGGGCTCCTAAAGGGGCCTTGTGTTATAAGATTTGATGTATAGTAATTGCATCCAAAGTAAGAAGTCTGTGATCAACATTTTTTTTGTGGGGGGAGGGGAGAATTGATTCGATCGATTTTTTTTAAGATTAATTTGTTCATGGGCAAATGTGCAGTTGCGTTATGTATTTCATCTGCATGGGATGTAATGACATTTGTCAAGTGATTGTTCTACAAGTTGACAGTTGATTTGTCAAATCACTGATCGATCACAAGGAACAGCAAATGAACACTGACAATGGGATGCATTTGAACCCATTATCTGGATAGCACATACCGTCTTGTCTAAAAAGACAAGCATGTAACCTCCTGGCATTTGACAGTGCAGAGAAATTGTGTATTGGGAGCTAAATATACAACACCTGTCACCAACAGATGTTTTGCACATGACATAAAACATAGAACCAATTAAAAGTCAATTATTTTTTTTTTATGATGTCAGTTATTATCTATCATGAATTGTCTGACATGCCCCAGAAAAGTTCCAGAAGTGTTCACACTGTGCTCATTTGTATCAAAGAGACAGTAGAAATCACATACTCTGTAAACAGCATAGTGTAGTGCTGTACATGTCGAAAGATATGAAGTGCTGCCAAGCAATGCCTGCCATCAGAAAAGGAAGATTAGCATGTTGTTGACCAAGATGGCCAAGATGCTTGTAAAGACAAAACTCAATGCTGCTGCTTCATACTGTTGTGGCATGGGAGAAAATACAACCATAGCAGGTTTCTAGATAATGCACAGTACCCTCTGGAGAACAAGCGCTGCCGAGTTTACTTGGCTGCATCACGCTAGCATGCGGCAGATTTCAGCTGCTAACTATTGGCCAACGTAGAGCTCGGGTAGCCACTCTAGAGTAGGCTGCTAGTTAGAAGTGCAGTAGCCTGTGCCTCCAGCAGTGAATCGGATTTTTAAAAAAAAAGGTCATGTTCAAGTGAGCTTGCCCCAGTGCCATTCGCCCGCAAATATGCAGTTGGATTTATAAACATTCTGTTGAAAACTGCTCCTGAGCAGTGTGCAGATGGGACCAAACTTTGCTTTTGCTGGAAGGGAACAAGTGGACGCACATGATGTCCATTCACTTGGCTGTCATTAGTAGGCTGCCAAGCAACCCATAGATTTCCCTCCTCGGATCTTGCACCATTTGACCTGGTTCAGTCATACAGTACTGACACAATCTGCTTAGCTCCAGGCTTGACAGTTACTGGTTTAGACTCTGGGTGATCTTCACCTTTGCCCTTTGTGTTGTTTGACTGTTACTGTTGCCGCTTCATTACAGAGTTGGTAGTGAGTAGCGCCAGCGCTGACCTCAACGTCTGTGACAGCCATAAGAATACTGCATTGCACCTTGCCTGCCAGCAGGTAATAGTTCAACCGATTTTCTATACGAACAAATGCAAGACTGTGTACGCACTTGAAGGTCGAGGTAATTCAGCCATGATAGTAGGCACTGACTGTACCTCGTACTAGGCAATCAACTAGGCGACCGTAAAACATCCAGCAAGTGAAATGTTTGGTTTGTAAGCTGTCACAGTTAGTAAGGTTCTTAATGGTGCTATGAAATTGGGCTCACCGTTAACTGCAGCGAAGTGGGACATGATAATTTTTTACACCTACATGTAAGGGTCATATGCGGTAGCACACAGAGGGAGAAAAGTACGTGTCCCACAGCACAGCAGTCCATAGTATAAATTTAATGTATCACATTTTCTGCCAGTGAATTGAATCTTTCACTCTGATTATTGCAAGCTTTTCCTTTTGGATACGAGAGACTGTGGAAATGCTGTCAAGGTGCACCTTGGGGATACAAATGATGTACAAGGTTGCATGGGCCCGACTTAACAAGTTCCAGTCCCTTGAAGTTTACAGTGTCATGTTATATAACAAGTCCTCCTCCCAGCAGTGGAAGGCCCTTTTGTTGTTCTTTTTGAAGTGCCAATACTCATGCCCGTTACTTTTTATCACCAGAAACATGAAGGCTGTGCATTGATGATTCTGGAGAAGCTTGATGAGCCTACCATCATCAGCTTTGCCAACATCGATGGTCTCACGTAAGTCAACTCAGTATGCAGCCCAAGTCTGGCATGGTAACATCAACGGTAGTCAGCCATACCAACTTGAATGCATTCAAAAAGCGTCCACTACGAACATCTAACGAAAGAAACACAGTGCACTAACAGTGCTTCTTTTGTTGGATGTTCATTGTGACATATGCTGCATTATTTTTGCAGCCGACTGTGAGTTGTATTCAAAGACTTGTGAATGGTTTGGTCTCAAAACTCTGCAAGGCAGAAGGCTCCTTCACTGCTCCCAATTTGTCGAAAAATTGCTGTGACTTGCAAAATTCTCCCAAGTCTTCCTGCCTGTTATGGCTTAGAACATGCTATGTGTAACCCTTCTGCTCAGTCCTTCGCAAGGTGTCCTAGATATTTAACGACAATTGAAGGGGATATTCTGGTGTGTTCTTACCTCTTTGCAGGCCTCTTCATATAGCGGCCAATAGTGGTCTAGTGTCCGTAGTTCAAGAATTGATCTCTAAAGGAGCCAGTTTATTAGCATTAGATAACAAAGGTAAGTTCAGTGATGCTAATTTGTATAGGATTCCATGGCTGTCTGAACCAGCCTGGTGCCGCAAGGTGTAGTGTTCATACAGGTGTGTGAGACCTTGTTGCTTTGGCAGTCAACAGCTGTGTGACAATGGGAGCTAGTCCAATTCAATAATGTTGTTGTGGCTGGCAATCTGGGACTCTTAGGCCGCATGGCGTTAGGATAGTTGGTATGTTGGATAGTTAGACTGCACAGCCTTCTCATTCCGATAGCTATTGAACATCATTTTGTGGTGCCATTCTCTCATTGTTAGCACCCTAGCTCTCAGTTGTAAGCCGGCAATCTCAAGATGTAAGTTGTTTGTAATGTTCCCCGAATGTCAAATCGGCTTTTGTTATTGGTTGGGTTGGTTTTTTTGTGTTGGGTTTGGGTTTAGATTTGGGTTTTGGTCAGGTTGGGGTTGGTTTTTCACTAATCCTATCAATCTGCTCTAAGCAGGATCAACTGAAGGTATGTGTTCGCATAGCAATAATGGTCCTTCGGTGAGAACTCACCACGTGTGCATGCACCCGTAGCAGAACATGCTTGACCAGTTTCTGTTTGAACGTTCAGTTTTTGCATTTGCTCCAAGCACGAACTTTGGTACCAGTTGAAACACTTCCCACCAGCCTGTCTCTCTGCAGGTGAGGGTGCCCTTGAACTCGGCATGGATAGCACTTGCAGGCGATTTCACGAAACTTAACGCAATGGCGTAATTCCACTTATGTCACATTTTATTGCGTAAGTTGCTCAACAAATTAAGACCGAACTCCCGAAACTTACGCACCTTGTAAGTCCAAAACTTACGCATCAAATTATGGCCTACATTACGCAGTGATTTTTGGTGGCGTAAAGTGCGCCAAACAAAGCGAAAATGAGCGATTTGACTAACTTATCGTGTTTGGTTTAGCCTCATTATTGCTGAACTTAACAAGGCTTATACAAGAAACATAGGACTTTGCTGTAGAAGGTAATAAGAAACTTATTTGGCTGTGAAGAAAATTTGAGTTTTTTGTCCAGTTCTGACAAAAAAAAGACTAACACCTTTTTCAACTGGCCGGGGGAGGAGATTCAATGACTGTTTGATGACTGCTGTTACATTGGAAAGGAACAGCCGTCGTAAAAGCTGTTCTTGCCCTTGTCCAAGAAATTTAATATTATTAAAGCATGGCACAGCTGTGTGTGATTTTTCGTGAAATCAAATGTCAGTGTATTGCGCAGCTACGGCATAAATTTGTGGTACAAGGTTTACATGGTTACGCCACGTTTTTTGAAATCGGCTGCTGACCCTCAGCTACAGGCTGATAATCTTCACTTGACATTAGTTAATTGTATTGTTTTTCAAAGTGTCAGCTTTCTCCTTTTTTTTGTAATTCTCCCCCCTCCCAGGATACACCCCAGCCCTGAGTTGTGCCCCCACCGACAAGGTAGCCGACTGCCTGGCTATTATCCTGGCCCACATGTTGCCCTTCTCGCCGGCCAGCACCGCCTCCAATTCCCGCATCGCGCTGGCCATGAGCGGGGAGCTGGGCCGGCTCAGGAACGCCAGCCTGGAGTTCACCGATGGCAACCGCAGCAGAGGCGAGAGCAATGCCGATACCTCCGACTCGGAAACCTACTGAGACAAAGTTTGTCCCCAAAAAAATTAACACGGGTGCATCACGTCACACCGTCCCAAATCCAGAGTTGTAGTTGGGTACATTCCCAGTGCTGTGTTAACTGCCGGCTATTGAGGTGGTTTGGTTGCGATAAAGCTGAAGGATACAGACATTGAAGAGTAAATATTAATAATGATAATATCAACTTATCCAGGAACTTATCAAGGTGCCATATACTGTCATCCCTGCTCACCGGACCTGCAAACAGTCCTCCAAACTATCTCAGCTCCCTGGGGAGTATACAGTACGATGCTATCATTTTAGGCACAAACAGCTAATCAAACACAACCACCACCTCTGCCCCTGTTTATACTCCTGGGCAGAGCTGTTGTTTAGAGGGAGTTGCAACATGAGTGTCTCAACTGTTGGAACCAAAATGGTGGATTATGCATCTGTGCACGTGGGCAATGGACCTTTCCCATGAAATATGCAAATAAGGCAGAGGCATGCGCATTGATACGACTGGTTGGCAAAGTTGCTTAAATCTATGACGTAACAATACAAATCTCCATGTGTGCTCAACCATGAGCACAGACACGCGGTTTCTGCTCTGGTATAGTTTGGCATGATTACCAAACTTAAAAGACAAGTTACTTTCCAATCTCAGGGCACCGAAAAACTTCACTCAGTTTCGAGAAAAATGTGCTAAAATGTCCGACAAAGGCTGTAATACTGTTTTGATTGATGTTCGACATGCCAGGTTATGGTGACAGCAGCTCTACACTGCTGACTGGGATGACGGCCGTGCTTGCCAACCAGTGGTAGCGCATGCACCTGTCTAATTTGCATATTTCATGGGAAAGGTCCATTAGCACAATATAGCAGCATGTTGTACTGCACACACAAGGAACGGCCATTTTGGTTCCAAAGTTTGAAGTCGGTACTTCTCTTTCTGTACACAGCTCTGCTCCTGGATGGAGAGAGACCGGTAGGAGTAAAGTAGCCTCGCCCACGGTCACAATCTGTGACAAGTGGTTGGATTTGACCGCCAACCTCAGCTACTAGAACAAACGCCTACAAATACCGAAAGAACTTGGAAAGTTGGAGCTATCAGACGCTTGTAAAAAACTAAGACTTCAAGGCAGACATTTGCAGAAAGTACCTGCTGAGTACTCTTCTCGAGTACTTCTGTTCAGAAGTTTAAGTAAAAAGTGTGGTTACATGTATGTAATACATACATGTAACCATTGTATCCACTCACCGTAGCACTGTTACTGCTGCCACAAACTTCAGTTGCTATTGCCTGTCAATGTCTCTTTCACTGTGTTTACAATAAACAGCTCGGAATTTGGAGGTGGACAAAAGAGACTTGGAAAGTACTCAACTGCGGCACTGTCCACAACAAGAGGTCGTGTCAAGATTGTGATAATGGGCATTTAAAGCTAAGGAAAAACTAGCAAGCATTACATGTACGTGTTGTTATTATTTCATGTAAAGTCACACCATTGTTCATAGATTTATCATTCCTCCTTGCAGTTTCAGGAATTTCCACTTTCCAGTGGGTAGTATGCGTGTATGCACTCATGCAATCAAATATTCTGCCAAACTTGTCAGCGCTGTCTTGCATCCGCGCTTTTGCTGAGTGCCTCTGTCTGAACCACCATTTCGCACCAGAAGATGTGCAAGTAAGGTGGGGCTATCTGCCTACACAGGTGTGGCTGACAGGGTTGAGATGTCATGCGATCCTTGACTTAATCTCTGACTTGCATCAAACTCGCAGATCTGTCATTTGTTTCATACACACAAAGTCTAAGAAGTCTTCGGGGAGGCAGGCCGTGTGTCGAACTTGGCCGCTGTGCACAGCCTTTTGTAGTAGCAAATATCGCCCCTTGGCTGAACCCCGGAGTGTTGAAAAATGTGAGGCTACGGTAAGAAAAATCATTCAAGTACTGTTCAAATAGATGTTGGGAATTAGTATTTGTAGCATTTGGCAGTACATAAAAAAAAATTGGCCACTATATTTTGCCTTTTTTGAAATTTGAAAGTTTTGGCCAAAAAGAATAGCATCTGTGAGTGGTTTAGTAGGAAAGATCTTTATTCCTGCTATAGGCTGTTGCTCTAAACCAAAATGACATGGTGCCCTGGGTCCTAGATAGCTCAACTTACAGCCTCAGATTGTCAGCGGGGAAGTTGCGGGGACCTTTTCCTTGCAATTACAGAGTTCCCGCGGCCTGGAAAAGTCATGAAAAAGTCATGGATTTTTTGTTTTCAGTTTCCAGGCCTGAAAAAAGTCATGGAGTTTTGTAAGAATGACTAAAGTCATGGAAAATTCATGGAATTTTCCAACATTGTATGTGATTTCTGTTATCAGAAATAAGTGCATAAAATGCGTAATTTTATTTACAACTTTAAAAGTCCGAATAGTCCAAGAAATTGCATTATTGAGTCGTGGATTTTCATAATTTGGTCATGGAAAAGTCAAGGAATTTAATTGTCCTTTAGGCGCAGCAACCCTGAATTTGCAATGTTGCTGTCTTTGAGTCTTGTTTTGGGTGAGCAGAGAAGGCCCAGAACATGAGTAAATCATGTCTTGATGTCTCACCTGTTCTTTCTTGTACAAATAGCCTGGTCTGGGGAAAATCTTGGGAACTGGTAGCAAGAGGAAGTTTGCAGTTGTTCATGAGGTTAAACCGTTTTGAACACCAGTGTTGATGAATATGTGCACCGTATAAATGTCATCCTCATTACTTGGCACAAATGCACAAATTGACAAGTGGTCATCGTCATTTCTCACCCTGGCAGTTCGACCTTGCCAGTGTCTCATGGCGCACATTTTGCGTGGACGATTCTGCATTTATTGACCAGCCTCCAATACAGTCTGTTTTGGTAGAGTGGCAAGTCTTGCAAAATGTCCATTTTTCATTCCTGGCAGTTCGAAAACACCGGAGAGAAATGTTCTTCCAGACAGTGAGTGTCGACTCGCCACACATTTGACCCACAAACTACTCAATACCCTGTTAATTTAGCATGCTGTTTTCGACAGAAAGAGCCAGAGGACGAGTTTCCACCCAAACCACATTGTTGCAGAAATAAGCACGATTTTTATATCTCACTCACTATTGGTCTGTATCATCCTTTCCGCGTTGAAAAAGTACAATTCATTAATCCTATTTCAAATGTCACCTGTAATAAATTGTAAATACGTCAGCAATGGCCTTGTCGTCTCGATGGGATACATATAAGCGGACAAGGTGCGAACTTGCACACTGAGCATTCTTCTTTCAATTCGATAATGAAATTCGAAATGTATTACTTGGAAATATACAGGGAATAAATGTGTAAAAATGAGTTATTTTCGTATGGCGGGACCAAAGGTTTCAAATTACAAACAGACTTGTATAATTGTTCAGCTTTTCATATGGATATAATTGGGATTAGAGATTAAATATTTTGTGTACACTTCCAAAGCGCATGTTTGGGAAAAACGTAGTGATATTAATGTAGAACTCTGACATCAGTCTTTCAGGTAAACCTGTAGGTTACAGTTATCAAACAGTTTTACCCAGTGACTAGATGTCAACAAAATATCACAGTTACATTTGCAGCGTGTAGGGACTTCGCTTGCTGATTTGTGTTTGTTTTTAAGTTAATGTTGAAACTGTCTTTAACTCAAAAAGTTACCTTACCCTCAATGTACCAGTTCGTATATTGCCACGTGTGATATCACCCCCACATACAACGGAGACCAAACGAAGGAAATTACATTTAACCTTGAGTTTGTGCCCAGTTCTTTTTTCACTTGAGCAATATTGCCCTAACCCACATGTACCTCACACTTTGAATTTACCCTGTATTTCTTCCTAAGCACAGGTAGGCCCGACACGTTATTAACTGAAAATTAAAGTTTCCATGTATTCAGCTTTTATTTACTCCACCATTATTAATGACCGTTTGAAATGACACTCTTGGTCAGGCATCAGTAGAAAACAAAAACAAAAAAATAATGAATGTGTATGTTACTTTTGTCAAAACGTATTTTACCTTGCTATGAGCTGCACCGTTAATTGCACTTTTTTTACTAGCAGTTTTTATTGTCTAACGGGAAAAGAACGAAGTGCCCTCTCAAGTTTTATGCGATGTTGATAGAATAACAAAATTTTCAACTAATTTCCGTATTGTAGCATATCAACTCTTGCAGCATCTACGAGGCATGTATTCGTACATACTTGAAAGTTTAGCAGGAGATAATACGAAGCTGTATCAGGGAATGGTGAACAAATTCACTCTCAGTTCTGAGTCGTAGGCCTACCGTACGAAATTAAATTCATACGTACGACTTGTAAGGCTCATGTTCGAGTTATGATTCACAAGTCGTACGCACGACATTGTCGTTTGAGATACAAGTCGTACGTACGAGTTATAATTCACAAGGCGTACATAAGACTTGTATTAAGTACGTATAACATTTCGGGTTTTTATTTAGATAGCGAGAGAGAAAATTGTTTCGCTACGTCCCTAATGCAGCTCGGGAAGATAGTGTCTCACTGAGTGCGCGTTGGATAACAATACCATTCACAAACCCCAGAGATGGCACGCGCGGTAAAGTGCAGCGACATTGACTCTGTATACATTTTTATGTGCATACTGTGTAGCTCCTCCATAGAAATGAACCCTGCAGAATTCGATGTTTAGTGTTTACCCCTGCTCAGCCTTATCCCAAAGCTGTCACTTGTGTGCACCGTGTTGTTGCTTATCTCTAAGGACCGGCTGTATTTTGTATCAGTAGTTGAGTCTATTATGATGGAATAACAAATCAGGATTCACAAAAATGAGATTTTCCTTCAATCTGTCTTTCTGCCCTCTCCAACCCCCGAAATGAAAATAGGGAGGGGCTCTGTTGAACGGCTGTTGATGTGTTTTGTGTTTCAAAAATGGTGCTTATATCAGTCAGGATTGACTTTGATATAATGTTAACACTGTAGATGGAATTGTAAGTCTTGAATTTGACTCATAATGCGAATAAACCACTGTGCTAATAATATATGTGCTGATTGCACTTTCCTGATTGCTGTTTTTCCTAGCCACTCCTGGCACAATCTAACATTGCCCTATGAGTCAGGTCGTAATTGACGACTGTCAACTTCCATTATTATTGCTCATAGTGGAGCCGTTAATATTCAATGTTGTTGAATGATGCCGCTCATAATGATATTCCGTGAAAGTTGGAAGCAACACACGTACAGCAGCGCCCATTCCGCCCTTAACAGGTGAAGGATTGAGGAGTGTTAGGGTTAATGGGTGACTTGAGTGAGAATTAGTTTGGCAAACAATCTGAAACGGTTGTACCCCGGGGAGAGAAGTGCATCCATTGTAGATGATGTCTCGTATGACGAAACAATAGGCCTACACACAAGCTCGCGTTAAAAGAATAATTTTGACGTCAAATGGGAGCTGTACTGTTCTCGAGTTACACAAGTTTGTCATGTACATGTACTATATTGCAAATGCATATGATATCCAGTGTGAAGCAAAATCACGAATTAAATTACTCAGATTAAGTAAAGTGCGTTATAGGTATTCCTCGTTCGCAGTGGCGACGGGGGGGAAGGCCCCTCCCCATACCCACATGCTACGTTTCAAGGAATGAAGAGCGCCCCAGCAGTCTGAAAACGGTCTTTGGGTGGTTTCTTTTTTCTCTCTTTTATTTAAACCATTATTGAAACCATTACCAGTCAGTGACCTCACTTTTGTTTACCAACAAGGGCCGCCATTTTGGACAGCCTGCCAAAGTTTGCAAAAAGTTCAGCCTTGGTAGCTGCATAAGTTGCCTCAAAATGCACATTTTGCTTCACAGGTGTTAAAACGAAAAAAAAAATTATGTTGGAACCAGCTCCCACAATCGCCTACCGCCCTACCAATCACCAGACGGATGAGGCCACCCGTAGGCTCAGGTCTCTTCCAGATCATCCCCAAATTCCACACCCTAAATTCTTTGTTATTGTCTTCATTTGCACTTACTGTTTGATCGGCACCTATTCTTCACCTTTATTTATTATGCACCATGCCTATGACATCACTCCGGCACCATGCTAGGATAGCTACAATTAGCTGAATATTAAAGGTTAAAGGTTTCAAGCCTTCAAAAGTATTTTTTATTCAACTTTAAAATTTTTGTATTATTATTATATTTTATCTATAAGTGAGTAATTCCTTACCGCTGGTTGGCAAAAAAGGAATGCGCATGTGACGGGTGTTGGATGGAGTATGTCTCTGTTCTGTGGAAGTCGTTTACAAGTAAAGACTGGCTTGGAAGCCCTCGTGACCCCTTAATTCCATTCAGCCTGGTCACTTAAGACACATTGACCAACTCATCTGAGATCACTCTTTAGGTAGCAGTTAATTTGAATTAGTATGGACCGTTGTTAGTGCTTCAGTGATGGAATACAACGATAGAAAACGGCTTCCTTTATGATCTAATTTGGCTATAGACCATATTGCATGCTATTCTAAGCACGTATACCTACAGACAACAAACAAAAAGTAGAACTAAGCTTCAAATCTTACTAAACAAAGAGTTACCAAGCTTCATGTCAATGACCCTGTGGTCTGATTTACAATGTAGCTGCCGGACTTTTGACATGATCTTTCGTTCCCGTGAAAGATGAGATCACTCATCCACTGCATGGAGAATTCTTTTGCGAAAGAAATTGGCATTATATGCCGTCACAAGTTTGCTTTGTGATGACATGTCCGTAACTTTATCTTGATTTGGTAAAACGCCAAGTCCAAATGAGCCTTTGCATTGTCTTCAGTCAACAATATCTGAACTTCTGATCAGCCGACTCAAATAAAATTCACGACACTAATAATGTACGCCCAATTTGTCATAAATAAGGCATGTTTTGTTTCCTTTCAACTTCTATCATTTTCTATCCGCCACCCACAAGATCATTCCACGCTTATAAGTTTTCACGGCCAATATACATGTACAAGTTTAGCTACGTCGCCATGTTGGTGATCGTTCCGAATATTCGTTTTTTAGCTGTATAGTGCCTTCGATTTCGTTTCAGTTTAATTAATCAGTCAGTAAGTTACCCATTTGTGCAGAATGTTTCGTTTTTGTTACTGATACAAGAAGCACGCCTAATAAATGGAGTGCATTAGCGTTGGGAGTTTGGGTCCACTGATCGTGATCTCGATCCTCGTGCAACAAACACGCTCGTAATACCTACCCGTACCTCTGCCACGAATCTGAATTAACATCTTTGCATTACAGTAAATCGAATTTGTCATCAACCTACAAGGCTTTTGGTGAATTTGAATGAACGATATGTGGGTTCAAATCAAAGAATGATCAAATAACTGAATCAAATAATTTCTTTTGATTTTTGAATAATTATGAAAGAGAATTCATTTCGTAAAAAAAGATGTT